TTTGAAAACCTGCCTCTGTCTCTCACATTTTTTTTGGTTGTGGTTTTTTGTCAATCCAATGCATGTGTTTTTCGACAACTAAACTAAACTTAAAATTTAACAAAACCTAATCACAGTTAAATTTCTTTGCGGTGTTGATAGTGTTGATGTACCTGTTGTGTATTTCTGATGAATACCCTCGAAAGGAACACCCTTGAGAGGAACTGGTAATGATCTTATTGGTAATTGGTCTTTTCAGTTTGGTTGATTTGATTCATCCTGACTTCTATAGTAGATTGGATTACCATTTATTACAGGCTATTCTTGCCTGGATTGAATTTTAAAGTTATCTTGATAAGTGGTGACAACAGTTGAATATGGAAACATGTCCATTTTAATTCCACTAGTTAGTGCTGAATTTGAATTCATGTTTCTGAGTTGTATGTAAATACTTTGTTGTTGTTGTTGTGTGAATTGTTTTGATGTACCGTACTTCCTCGTCCAACATTTAAAATCGAGGAAAGTGAGGGGTGGGCTTATACCCAATGAGTACCTCAGAAATAAGGAATTTTTTTAACATTGTAACCATCTAACCACCCTTGAGAAATTATCCATCTTTCTCTCAGTAGTTGGAACTGGATACATTAATAATTTTATGCTGCCATATTGTGCTTATACCCCTATGTTACGATGTACAGTCCACACTCAGAATACTTTGTTGATTTTCTGGCTCCTTTCATTGACATTTGTAAGTTCTATGAAGACAAAATTGTCACAGTGTACTTGCAAGCACTTACAGTGACTTGTCAACAGGATAATTCAATGTGCATGATGGATATGTCATGCTTTCATCTATCACTAGATTGTGCTTATGTCTTGATGGGTGTATGGATCATTGCGTTTTAAAACCATCAATGAGGTTACTGGCCTGTATGAAAGCAACTCACAAAGCACTACCCATATATACACAGTTTGTAAGCCGTGATTTATGGCACTTTTTTTTGCATTATTGCATTTGTTTTTCTCTTTAAGGCGACTACTTTGTCCATAGCAGGATAGTTGTATCATTAGCTGAAAGGTGTTCAGGTTAGGTGTGAATTTAGTTGTCAAATATTTGTATTTTTGGAGAAACCTTTTCTTTCTGCTAAGTTTCTGACTATTTTGCCATGGATTGGAACCCTGATAAAATGGAATCCTGTGGAATGTTATTGCACTGAATCCTAGAAAATGTTATAGCATGGAATTCTAGGTAACATCATAGAAAGAAAGTCAAGAAAATATTGTAGGATGGGATCCTGGGAAATATTGTAGAATGGAACCCTGGGAAATATTGTAGAATGGAACCCTGGGAAATATTGTAAAAATCGAACCCTGAGAAATATTGTAAAAATGAAACCCTGGGAAAAATTGTAGGATGGAACCCTAAGAAATATTGTAGAATTGAACCCTCGGAAATATTGTAGAATTGAACCCTGGGAAAAATTGTAAGATGGAACCCTGGGAAATATTGAAATATGGGATCCTGGGAAATATTGTAGAATCGAACACTGGGAAATATTGAAGAATTGGGACCCTGGAAATATTGTACACTGGAATCATGAAAAAATATTGTGCATTAAAATTCTATGGATTATTGTAAATGAAACCCTGGGGAAGTATTAGAGAATGGAACTCTGAGAAATATTATAGAATGGAACCCTGGGAAATATTGTAGAATGGAACCCTGGGAAATATTGTAGAATGGAACTTTACAAATTATTGTAGAATGGAATATTGTAAAACGAAACCCTGGAAGTATTGTAGCATGGAACCCTGGGAAATATTGTAGAATGGAACCCTGGGAAATATTGTAGAATGGAACTTTACAAATTATTGTAGAATGGAATATTGTAAAACGAAACCCTGGAAGTATTGTAGCATGGAACCCTGGGAAATATTGTAGAATGGAACCCTGGGAAATATTGTAGAATGGAACCATACACATTATTGTAGAATGGAATATTGTAAAATAAAACCCTGGGAAGTTTTGTAGAATGGAACCCTGGGAAATATTGTAGAATTGAACCATACAAATTATTGTAGAATGGAATATTGTAAAATGAAACCCTGGGAATTATTGTAGAATGGAACCCTGGGAATTATTGTAGAATGGAACCCTGGGAAATATTGTAGAATGGAACTTTACAAATTATTGTAGAATGGAATATTGTAAAACGAAACCCTGGAAGTATTGTAGCATGGAACCCTGGGAAATATTGTAGAATAGAACCCTGGGAAATATTGTATAATGGAACCCTGGGAAATATTGTAGAATGGAACCCTGGGAAATATTGTAGAATGGAACCATACACATTATTGTAGAATGGAATATTGTAAAATAAAACCCTGGGAAGTTTTGTAGAATGGAACCCTGGGAAATATTGTAGAATTGAACCATACAAATTATTGTAGAATGGAATATTGTAAAATGAAACCCTGGGAATTATTGTAGAATGGAACCCTGGGAAATATTATAGAATGGAACCCTGGGAAATATTGTAGAATGGAACCATACACATTATTGTAGAATGGAATATTGTAAAATAAAACCCTGGGAAGTATTGTAGAATGGAACCCTGGGAAATGATGTAGAATGGAACCCTGGGAAATATTGTAGAATTGAACCATACAAATTATTGTAGAATGGAATATTGTAAAATGAAACCCTGGGAATTATTGTAGAATGGAACCCTGGGAAATATTGTAGAATGGAACTTTACAAATTATTGTAGAATGGAATATTGTAAAACGAAACCCTGGAAGTATTGTAGCATGGAACCCTGGGAAATATTGTAGAATAGAACCCTGGGAAATATTGTAGAATGGAACCCTGGGAAATATTGTAGAATGGAACCCTGGGAAATATTGTAGAATGGAACCATACACATTATTGTAGAATGGAATATTGTAAAATAAAACCCTGGGAAGTTTTGTAGAATGGAACCCTGGGAATTATTGTTGAATTGAACCATACAAATTATTGTAGAATGGAATATTGTAAAATGAAACCCTGGGAATTATTGTAGAATGGAACCCTGGGAATTATTATAGAATGGAACCCTGGGAAATATTGTAGAATGGAACCATACACATTATTGTAGAATGGAATATTGTAAAATAAAACCCTGGGAAGTATTGTAGAATGGAACCCTGGGAAATATTGTAGAATGGAACCCTGGGAAATATTGTAGAATTGAACCATACAAATTATTGTAGAATGGAATATTGTAAAATGAAACCCTGGGAATTATTGTAGAATGGAACCCTGGGAAATATTGTAGAATGGAACCCTGGGAAATATTGTAGAATGGAACCATACACATTATTGTAGAATGGAATATTGTAAAATAAAACCCTGGGAGATATTGTAGAATGGAACCCGCGGAAATGTTGTAGAATGGAACCCTGGGAAATATTGTAGAATGGAACCATACAAATTATTGTAGAATGGAATATTGTAAAATGAAACCCTGGAAGTATTGTAGCATGGAACCCTGGGAAATGTTGTAGAATGGAACCCTGGGAAATATTGTAGAATGGAACCATACAAATTATTGTAGAATGGAATATTGTAAAATGAAACCCTGGGAAGTATTGTAGCATGGAACCCTGGGAAATATTGTAGAATGGAACCTTGCAAATTTGTGTAACCTGGAATATTGTAAAATGAAACCCTGGGAAATATTGTAGAATGGAACCCTGGGAAATATTGTTGAATGAAATTATACACATCATTGTAGAATGAAATATTGTAAAATGAAACCCTGGAAGTTTTGTAGCATGGAACCCTGGGAAATAATGTAGAATAGAACCATACACATCATTGTAGAATGGAATATTGTAAAATGAAACCCTGGGAAGTATTTTAGCATGGAACCCTAGGAAATATTGTACAATGGAACCCTGGGAAATATTGTACAATGGAACCCTGGGAAATATTGTACAATGGAACCTTACAAATTATTGTACAATGGAAATCTGGGAAATATAGAATCAGATCCTTATACAGTATGTCCTGATATTTTGTCTGAGATTTCAAAGATGTTGGCACATTGAGATCAGCTCCCAAGATGCATCTACTGCATACTGCTTTACCAGAAGATGCCCAAAGATAAACCGTTTAAATTTCCTAGTTGTGCAACACAATGGAAACAATACAACAGTGGCACATGTGGCCGATGACATGTATAAAATATTCATCCGGGGGTTAACAAGATGAAAAGGTCAGACAATGAGACAATTAAATTGCATTTTAAGGTGCCGTCTGTGCATTATTTTTGACGTATGAGGAGATGAGATGAAGCTAAGTAATTTGTGTACTATGTTATGGCTACGGATACACTTAAATATCACCACTATGCACTCACAAGTAGATTACATCTTTTCAATGCTGTAAGTTCATGGGGAAATTTGTTCCCAAAGTCTTTTTTTTTTTTCCATTTCATTTGTGTTGTTTTTCAACTTGCTCATAGTATACCATGATTGTTGTTGTTGTCGTCGTCATTGTTAACACTTTGTTGTGGCCTGATTACTCAAGTTTTTATCTCAATATTATCAATTAATGTATAATTTTGGTGCAGTTCATGATTGGTGTGGCTATTAAGAGTAGTTTGTAATTGAAGAATGTAACAAGATGTCTGTCTCTGAGAGGAAAAATGAAACCAACAGTATAATTGGATGCAATTTGATACTGATAAGATCAACTTAGGCATAGATCTGTTTCATCTTAGTTTAAAATTCAAATAAAGTAAAGAAACATATACTGAGAACATGAATAGATAGCAAGCACTCCTGTTTTTACTTTTAATTTTTATATTAAAATGAAAAGGAGTTTAATCTGATGCCTGAAAAGTAAAGCCGAAAGTGTAGATATGGTAACAAAAGTCATAAAGGGCAATTTATAAGTCTCAGTAATACGTGGATTTATGACATTGTCATATAAAATTTAAGCTTATGATTATTTCTCTATATTTTTTTTTCAGAGTTATCCCGATGTGAAGACTGAGTGAAATGCGTGTATTCAGTTACAGAGCTAACTTCAAGCACCTATCAGTGGCATCGTTGTTGTTTGCACTTGTAATACTTGTTTTATATTCCAAATGTAACAATGAAAGGCCACAATCCATGGATAGTTTCCCGCTTATTAGCCATGACCATGACCCTGGAGGGCGTCGGCTAGAAGACAGCGGTGGTGGACATGAACTCTCGCTAAATAACCAAAATGGTGGGAGTATTTTACGCTACCAACCGATTGAGTGTGTAATCAATAGTGACTATACCATCGAAGGACGCAGGGAAGGTGCTGAAGTGTTTTTGCCGTTTTCTTTTATCGAGAAATATTTTGAAGTTTATGGGAAAATTGCTGAGTATGATGGATATGAACGATTTGAATGGCAGCATAGCTATTCTAAAATCTATTATCCAAAAGAACAGTATAAACCAGATGGTATCTTTATGTCATTTGATCATTACAACGTTGAACTGAGAGACAGAGTCAAGTGTATAAGCGGAATAGAAGGTAAGAAATAAAAAACAATTATTGGTAGATATATCTCATAATCTCTTATCCCACACACACACAAAAAAAAATTTTTAGAAGTGCAAAACATTCTGTTTTTAGTGTACATGTATTACTGGCTAATTGGACCAGAGCAAAATTTTACCCTTGACACTTGCTTCAGCTGCAGTGTAGTATTTATCCTAGTGGGTTCATCACTGCAAATCCTATGGAATCTAGCTTAGAGGATTGATCACTGCAAGTTATATAGGATCTAGCCTAGAGTGCGAATCACTGCAAGTTCTATAGGATCTAGCCTAGAGGATTGATCTCTGCAAGTCCTATGGGATCTAGGGTTGATCACTGCATGTTCTATAGGATCTAGCTTAGAGCATTGATCTCTGCAAGTTCTATGGGATCTAGCCTAGAGTACAGTTCACTTCAAGTTCTATAGGATCTAGCCTAGAGGATTGATTTCGGTAATTCCTATGGGATCTAGCCTAGATTGATCACTGCAAGTCCTATGGGATCTAGCCTAGAGGATTGATCATTCCAAGTCCTATGGGATCTAGCTTAGAGGATTGATCACTGCAAGTCCTATGGGATCTAGCCTAGAGAATTAATCACTGCAAGTCCTAAATAGAATAGAATTATTAAATTTGTTAGTTCTGGTGGCTGTGACTGTGTGGCATATATTAAAAATTTATCTTTTCATTAAATAAATGGGCCATTGCCTAGAAATGCATAAAATGTTACCTGTACCTCAACAAATTGAGGGCTAATCTGCACTGGCTCGGAAGGTTGTAAATGATTAGCTAGTTTGAATTTGCATAACAATACTGACAATGAACGTGCATTCAACGCCACAAGTTTTTTTGTTTTTTTAGCCAATCAGAATTCATCTTCCGAGCCAGTGCAGATCAGCCGCAAATTGAGATAAATTTTTCAATTTTTTTTTTAATGACACTAGGCGAATATCCAGGGCCATTACAAGTATAGTTCACCATTTTTCTTGACTAATATGTTGATATTTTATCACTGGAGAGCAAATTTTGATGTAGATTTTTGTTAACTCAATTGATGGTGTGTCGCGATTGAAATTTTTTTTCAGTCCGCAAGCGATTTTCTTGGAAAAATCTAGTAACTTAAATTTTTTTTTAGGTTCAAATACAAGGCTTGATAAATGTGAAATAAATCGTTATGCAAACATAATTACAAAAAACAAAATACCTTCTTAGTGTCTAATTCATGCGTATCATTTATGAAAAAAAATTGTGGTTATTTGGTTCAGAAAAAAAAAAAAAATTTGTTGTACCTTGGTTCGTGATGAGAATGTAAGACTGGAGGCTTATCCTAGATCCACATGTTCTCTTCAATCTGCTTACTACATTTATATCTCATAGCATCATTTTATCAAAATTAATAGTACACATTTACATTCTGTGCTGGTCACTATGGTGACAAATGATGGAGTATAAAATGGTTGCTTAGATACACAAGATAAAGATGAGGCAAAGATTAAGAGATTATTTTCACCGCACACCTGCCATGCAATGATTTGACCTTTTTTTTCAAAACATGAGAAGAATACATCTTCAAGAGACTGATGAGTTGCAATGTTTGACTTAGAGACAGTGTTAGACAAGAGTCTTTTCTATTTTGTAGAGCATATCGTCTGATGTAAATTCATCAGTAATAGCTAATAATTCTATGGGGTCTAGTTACAAGACATGAGCAAGTACCATGGAGCTGAATTCTTTGATATTTTCCCAATATATACTGAAAATGATAATACTGTAATATACATGTAATTAGATAGCTTGCAAACCTCCAGTTGCTTTTATCTGATATTGAATGTTAAAATCCCTAAGTATATTAATTTCACAGAGTTTAATGGAATCTGAAACCATTTCAATTGATCCATTGCTTGGGCCATGCAATATTGGAAACTTCACAACTATGTAAATTTACGGTTGTTAATGCACACTTTTGGTCGTTACCATGACAAACTGAAGGAATATAGCGTACTGCTCTATGAGGAGCATTTCTCTGATAGAAGTTTAAATAAACCAAAAATGACATTTGTTGTATATTGAATCGTATATTAAAGTTTTACTTATTTCCACCAAAGAAATAAACATTCTGTAATTTACATAAGCGCATAGTAGACCAAATATGGTAAATGTACATTGCACTTCATATTGAATTTAAGTAAACACACACATACTGTATGTGTATGATATATGGTCACATACAATGTATAAGTACACACACTGTATGTTAAAATCAACCTCTGTACAATATATGGTCACAGCTGATAATTTCAAAAGTGCCATTCAAATTAATGATACTGTTCGCTTTCCACTTATTCTAAACCATTCACTGTGTCCAACAGTAATTCACACACTTTACACTAGATGACTAGTTCCTCTGCTTAGGTATGCAAAACACATATAAACACCTGGATGTTTATCTGAAACCTAGCGTATTTGCTCTTGATTATTAAAAAACCACATGCAAAACAGACCTTGCATTTATGGTTCACCAGATTTTCAAAGATAGATACAATATTCCTACAATTACATAAAAACTAATGGATATTTAAAAATATTTGAATGAGATTTTTATAATAATGTAATCAAGAGCTGAAAATTAAGTGTGATTTCAATTTTAAGTGGCAAGCCCTTATATATAAATGCACTCTTGATTACCCTGTATGTGTTGTTTGTTTGTAATTTCTTATTGTGAATACATTGGAAAATGCAGTGATAAATGTGCATTGACGCAATTAACATTCCCTGAATTTGATTAAATACCGTTATTTGGATGTGTCATGGCACTTGCTGTTGCCATGGCAATATCTATATAAGAACTGTCAATAAAGTCATAGAATACTTAGTTCAGTATTTGTAAGTAAAGTGTGACGTTAGACAGCATAACAAATCCATATCACCGGAGTATGACCTAGCACGTGTTGTTAGTAATTTTTACTGCAAGGAGCTTCTGGGTGTGATAACTCTGGAATATGATAAACTTTAACCATGTAGGCTTTTTTTCAGAATTATTGCTCAATCGTTCAGAAAAAAATTCTTTTTGAACATGTGTCAGCATACAGCTTACGTTGATAGTTCACTGGTGATAAAACATAATAGCCTGAAAAAAATTTGCATATGAAGCGTGTTTTAGGTGATATATTGTTACTCGGTATTAGATCAGTAATTGTCTGTCGTTATTTAACACTTTGTGTGTGTGATATTAAAAAACAAATTAATGATTGTTGCCAGAGTAGCAGCAATCTCATGAATATTCATGACTCCTGATGTCAAACTAAGGGGAAATATTATGGGATTTGTAAATCAATATATTCACAGTGTGAGATTGATATTGCTGTCTCTAATGGCTGCCCTCTATGTAGTACTGCCTCACACCTGTTACAAGGACTGTATATTTAATATAACAAGTACATATTACTTCACTAATTGTGAATTTGTTGCATTTTCAATAAATATTTATTTTGCCACATTTGTGACATGTGTTTTGTTAATGATTGAAATTTGATTTAATATAATGGGTCTCTGACAGACTGAGGTGCCATGTGTGGATGACACACAATAAACTTTTAAGAGAGGTAGTAAATGTGAAATATGCACACTGTGTTCTTTTAACTTAAGTCTTGAATAAAATGCTGGTAGGAAATGTGTGATTTATGTGTGGGGTGCATACCAATAGAGGGGTCAGAATGCAACAGAATCGTTAGATATTCTAGTCTCATAGCGATGGTGACTGCTCTATAAAGAAAAGGAAACATTTTTTTCCTGTGTTTTTTTTCAAGAAAATGTGATGGAATCTTGTAACTTGTGCCCACAAAGTGAATAAAAGCTTCTTTTTTATTTTTCGTCACACTGACAGTAAATTCAAGTCCGTCCATGTCAATTGTATTTAATTTGACATGCATGCTATGGTGGTCGCTCTCTGAATGTCTAAACAGTTGATTCTAAGTATTATATAAGTTCTATTTCTTAGCAAGACTGCTTTCAAATATTGTGATGTTAACTGCATTACAGCGAAAGGCAGAAATCCTGTTGTACCTTAGTTTTATGAACATATTTAACAGATTAAAGATAGTAAAAATCTATTCACATATTTACTTTAAGTAGAGATACAGACATTATTAAGAATTTACCTAAATATATGTAAAACAGATAGGCTCTCAAAATAATATTATTTATTTATTTATATATGTCGATATTTATTAACTATCAAACTATAAAACCGTTCATAAAATATCACTTTTTGTAATGTAAATTATTTACAAGAAAACAATAAAGTTATTATTATAACAAATTGAAAAAAATACCGTTCATCGGCTTTCATTCAAATTCAAATATTTAATATTGATTGGCTCAAAAGCTCAACATTTTTAATGGCCCTAATAGAAAGTTTGACTGCCCAATGAAGCGCTTGCTGATTGGACAGTGCTGGATTAGTCAATTTGAAATCTAACAGCCATTTTGATTGATAAAAATAGATATTTATAAAACATTAATAACATCCCCAGTTTTCTGCTTTTTACTGTATTATATAAACAATTATATAAACATTAAACTCTGTTTGAACTACTGTGAAACATGTCTTTTTAGCTAGCATGTTATTTTAGCTAATTTAGCTAATCTGTAATTACACTACGGTAATTCAAGATGTCACTAATAATAAAATAAAGTATATTCTCGCAATGAGATTGTTGGTACTTCAGCTAAATTAAAATTCAGTTAATTCATGCATGGATTCAAATTCGCTAAAATGGTGTGTAGCTATTTAAACATGTTTTACAGTATATTACCATAATATTTCTGTATTAACAAAATAGTCACTGACCCTCCTCTCTTCAGTAACAAGATACAGCCTGTATATGTATGCTGTCCTGATTGCAGGAATGTCGAGATAATTGTTATGAATTCAAAAAAATACCAATAGGATTATCGCATAAACACATGAGCAAGCAAGTTATGTAACACTATGCACTCTTTAAAGAGGTTCGGAACAAACTGAAGATTAGATTTCATCTTCTTCATGCTTCATTATTGGTTCATGTCATCAGAATACCTTGAGCTGAAACAAGAAATCGGGTTCTAACGTCATGCAATTTTTTGAGAAACTGTCTGAAATGCCATGAACAATTTTGGAAAAATATCCATTTTCAACATCTCAAATTTTATACGATCTTGTTAAAAAACAAATTTCTTTATAGATTTATTTTAAAAAATTTGAATCAATTTTTATCGTCCTCTCATAATTGTAGCTGTACAAGCAAAGGTCTGGAAAAGTCTTGGAAATCATTTGGCTCTTGGTGCTATGGACCCTGTGAAATTACTGCCCAAATGCCCAGGATGGGTAACTTTCCAGTCTAAAAAACATCAACATCATATGTAGTCTGGTAAAAAATTGTCATTGTCCACTTTAATAAAAAATAAAATATTCCAATTTTACTAAATAATACTAAATAATGTTATTGGATAAAGTTGAACGCTAACCTCTTCTGATGGATGACGCTAAAATCACAAACAATGAACAATATATTTGAACACATTGCATGCTGGGAATGTTAGTAGGCATTGTGTTAAAAATTTTTTACTGGGGTGTTAAAATTTGGAAGTTATCTGCCCTGGGGTCTGGTACATTATTATGAGAAATTTCATGGTACATATTCATGTATTTGTCAGATAACCACGGTTCATGCCATTTACAATTATGTCGTTCAACATAAAATACATGATATGGTGCGGTAAACGTCACAACTATGTATGGAGAAAATGCAATCACGTGACTGCACCATTTTTATTACAAGCATGCATGTATACTGTAAAATACTTTATTTTACCTTGAATTAATTTTTGCTGAAAAGACTTTCGAGTGTTTTCAGTGGAATTTATTTTCACTGGTAATTGATGAGTTGAATGTAGAATATAGAAAAAAAAAGTATTTTCACTAGATTTTATTTTCACTCAATCATTCCTTCAGCAAAAATAAATTCCAAGTGAAAATAAAGTATTATACAGTATATAATTTCAGATTGGATCCCTTTTTGCGCTTAGACTAATGCCGACTGTATGTTTATTTCAAAATGGGGAATTAACTGCAAATGTGCAGCAATAGTTTCACTTAAACAGCCGTGTTTTTGTGTAATGTGCCACAAAGCTGAAACCATTACCACAACAGCCAAACCAGCATGAACATTAAATATATTTAAAAAAAAAATAACTTTTGCCTTATTGAAGCATTGAACCAGTGTTTATTTGCATAGATACGCAAATTTCAACAAACTGAAAAATAGTGCTGATGACATTTTATCAGAAATCGACATACATGTACTGGTTTGAAAAAGATGTAAACGAATAACATCACAGCACTCTATACTGTGTGTCTGGCTCAATGTTAGGAACACAGTCAATATGTGACGCCACCATTGCTTATTTGTTTTTGGACTTACTGTGTATATCTATGTTTAAATTACAGGTGTTCCTATCTCCACACAGTGGGGTCCTCAAGGGTACTTCTATCCAATTCAGATTGCTCAATTTGGACTGAGTCACTACAGTAAAAATTTAACAGAACAGGAGCCAAGAGTTATTGTGTATGAAAATGGTGAGAATACTGCCATGCCAGGATGGTTGCTAGGTAATACAAAAAGCCATGTTGAAAATGTATTAGATGAAGAAAAAGGAAGTCGAGTTATAGAATTTATTACAGGTAAGGGCATACATGTACATATACATAGGTCAAGGTGCAGCAAATCATAATTTTGAAAAATGAATCTGTGGCCAACTAACTTCAACCACTTTAAAAATGGAAGTCTTATGTTTATTTCATGGGAGATTTCAGAATTAGTGTGTTTTCTATAGAATTTATGTAAGCTGCATGTACATGTACCAAATTAATCAATGGTTTCATTGCTATACATGTCTCCCTCTAGAGTTCACTATGATTTTTTAAGTAGAAACACAACTCAAGAGGGCGACATTTTTGTTTTTCACTTTTCTGGAGAGCATTCACTTTTCACATACTGGAATTAATTTTCGCTATATGAATGATTCAGTGAAAAAAAAAATTCAGCGAGTATACTTTTTTTCCCTATATTTTACATTCAACTCGTCAAAATACAGTGAAAATAAATTCCATATAAAAAAACACCAAAAAAGTATTTTCAGCGAAAATTAATTCCAGCTAAAATAAAGTATTTCACAGTACATGCTCCAAACTACAGTTGAAATTCACTATTTTTTTATCGATAAGTAAAATCTACTTTTTATTCTCACACAGATACAGGAAGTCCTTCGGTAACTTTGAATTTGAAAAATTCAGAAGATTTTGAGCTGTCCTTTGATTTTAAATGTTTTGATAACTGCACAATATTGGTTATCTTGGACACTAGTGATAAAGACAAGTATTTTCATATTCATTACACGACAAGCAGAGAAGCGATCAGTCGTAGAGGAACGCATATTTATTATGGGCTGGGCAGCTGCAGATCATGGAGAACGTTTACCAGAGATTTGCTAAACGATTTGAGAAAGGGTGTTGGGCAAACAAATGGCAAGTCGGTGAAGAAAGCCAAAGTGAGTCTACGAAGCATCGTGAAGCTGTCTGTACAAGGATTTGGCCGAATTGACAATGTTAAGCTTTCAACCACGGCACACATGGCTCATTTTTATGACGCAGCTAATTGGCTGTTGAATAACCAGGACAAGAAAGGAGGTTGGCCCATTTGGATCACACGTATTTTAATTGATGAGATGGGTGAACTGCCTCCAGGGTGGTACTCGGCAATGGCGCAGGGCCATGCCATGTCTGTACTTGTACGTGCATATCGTAAATCTGGAAAACCAGAATACCTCAAAGCAGCATTAAAAGCAACGTATCCTTTTAATAAACTTTCATCTCAAGGTGGAGTTAAAGCAGTATTTTTAGATAAGTACCCTTGGTATGAGGAATATCCCACCAATCCAAGTTCGTTTGTTTTAAACGGTTTTATCTACAGCCTGATTGGTCTATATGATCTGATGATGACTGCATCAGATGAAGACAGAGTAGAAGCCGAACGATTGTACCGCGAAGGATTGACATCGTTAAAAGCATTACTGCCACTCTACGACACTGGCTCAGGGACTGTTTATGATCTGCGGCATATCACAACAGGTGTCGCGCCTAAGCTTGCTAGATGGGACTACCATACCACACATATCAGCCAGCTGCAATTGTTAAGCAGTATAGAAAAAAACTCTTTATTTCAAAACACTCTTGAAAGATGGATCGAGTACATGAAAGGCAAGAGAGCCAAGCATAATTAAAAAAATTACATTCATTTATGTTTTCTAGGTGTAGCGCTCTCTAGTGGTTGGGCATGGAGAAACTTTTGTTTTTATGGGTTCATTGCTATATTCGTTTTCAGTGGTGTATATTTCATGGTTATTTTATGCTATTCAGTACAAAGTCACATTTTTGGTGCAAAACATGTAGATATTGTAAAAGTTATTTTTGTTTGTTTGCTTCTACACTTCTGACAACATATCTCTATTTAACTCATCACATGATGAATGTGGTTACGACATCAGTAGGCAAGGTGTTAAGACAACATAGAGGTGAGTTGACTATTATAATCGAATCGATTGAATGAAAAATGAAACAAATTTTTTCTCTGTAGTGAGCGTAATTAATGATCTATTTTGACCTTTCACTTTTCACAAAATATGCCTGCGTCATTTTTCCAATATTTTTTTTTTTTTATTTTGACCAAGACATTGTAGACCTTGTGAAGTTTGGTTCAAAAATTCATACATTGAATATAAAAATGTTGTCTCAAAAGTTCAGTGAGAAAAATGACGGCATTCAAAGAGTTAATAAAAGACAGTCACCTCTAAATAGTTTCACCTCTTTTAACGAATGTTTCTGTTAAAATGAAGTATATATATAACAAAGGACATAACACAACCAAAGTTTTTGCCCTCTATGTTAATTTCTTTGTTTCGTTGAAGTTTTGTCATTAATGGAGAAGTCTAGTATGAATCTGTTGTACAGCGATGCAAATCTGCACTGTGTTTGTCGAAGGGAATTCACCTCTTATAGGGTTTATCAGCTATTATATGTTTCTATTTAATATTGGTGTTGGTGATTTTGAGTCTTTTATGTATTTTTTGGTTCCACGCTATGAACCCTTGTTATATTTGTGTGGGTAGGAATATTGTACTATTAATTATATTCTGAGATAAACATATTCTTCAGTTCTTCTTAAATTTGGTGCATTTAAATTAGATTTATGAAATATAATAATTTATAATATTAATAATGCTGATAAAATGTGGACAAACATTGGTGGTGGAATTCAAACTAGAACACAGTCATCAACACGTCTGATCTACTCCAAACAATCATGTTATTCCAAGTAAATCACAACATGCAAAAACACACTTAATTACAAATAAAATTATGTGCAAGTGTAAAAATAACATACATGGCCTCATATGGGTTATACATCCTATGGAAATGCATATAAATATCCATATGGGAACATGCATTAGCAAATATGAATATTCATATAGCAACATACATTAGCATAAATGAATATTCATATAGAAACATGTATTGACATATATGAATATTCATATATCAACATGTGTTTGAACGTATGAATATTTATATGGTAACATGCATATCATTAACAAATTAATATTCATATGGCAATACGTGTTAGTGTATATGAATATTCATATGGCAATGTACATTAACATAAATGAATATTCATATAGCAATGTGCATTAGCATATATGAATATTCATATACAGTCGCATATATTATTGTATATGAATATTCATGAGTTGCAACATACTTATGGTTTAGTGAAATAACCTCTTTTGACTCATATTGAGTTGATTTTAAAAATATGTAAATGATGTATTTCCTGTTCTTTTTATTTATTTTAAGTCTTTGTGGATCCAACCAGTATGTAACAAATGGTAATTTTATAGACGTCCCTATTGAAACAAAATGTTTTCCCCCTATCAGTGGCATGCTGCATGTACCCATGGTGATAATCAAAGCTCAGTTTAAGTTATTGTGTTTTAGCAATATTACTGGCATCCACCATATTGTTGAAATAAGTCCTTTCTGCGTCTTACTAAAGTCTGAAAGTTGCTTAGATATACTCAATAGAGGGCGCTCTTGCAGTTGGTTTCCGTGTTATGGTTTGACATCAAACAGTCCCTCACTATCCCTGTACGTTTTCATACATTATGCTTTTGAAGTCGTCTGTGGTACTGTACTTTAATGGACAACAGCAACAACCATTTTTTTCAGTTTTAACTTAATGACATGTAATATGTATATTTTAGCAAAACAATACTGGCCAGGAAAACTGACCAGATTCAGACAATCTTTGCTGTCTGTAATATGGTTCTTGTAAACTACCTGAAAAATAAAGTTATTTTACTTAGATAACAACAAATGAATTGTTTATGATTATTTATTCTCAATCTAAAATATGGCTTCAGATTGTAAATATAACAGGTATACTTCAGCGTTTACTGCAGATGGTAGAGGGCGCTGTTTATCATGTTGTTTAGTGACAGATTTGAGATGTGAAAGTTCCACAATAAATTGATGCTGCTCCACACCAGTAACTGTGTATATCTGTCACATGTGCATGCATATTGCAAACATTTGGGGGTATTTTGTAGTAGTATCCCTAGCAACCATGACCATAGCAACCAGTTCAACACATTTCCTCAACTTTTTAGCAAGTAAGAGACTAGAGATACGGGTACAGTAATTGTCCATTCATTTTCTGCTGATATACGCGATGAAACTATCATGAGATAATGTAACTTTGCATATTAACATTACCAGTGTTTAGTTATCACACGTGGGAGTACGTCAATGCACCGCAAAAGACTAATGATTATGGTCCAAGTCTTTGTAAGTTGTCATATTGTATAGTAATCCCTGAGGTTCACTTGACAAAATTATGTTTCAATAGATGGCGCCAACATCGTGGCCGTCTTTTTTCACTTGCAAGTTATTGAATGTACAACTTTTCTACAATGGCCGTTACAAATGACACAGGAAAGGTTTTATTAAAAATAAAAATCGAAGAAAAAAATCAATGTTTACAGCCATTGATGCTTTACTGTCATCGCGAGGATGGTCCAATTTGCAATGTTGCAACATTTCAGGTCAAAATACTCGTTTTGCCGGATGTGTTTGCATTTGACTAGTTTTCCGTCCTCTGTAATGATAATGGAATGTGCCAGGGTGTCGTCAAATTGGATATGGTTACATACATTGTTGCAATATGTTGTTATAGCTTGATTCATTGATAAACAATACGTATAGCAATGTTGTTAGCAAAACATCGATGTAAATTGCAACATTGCCCAGCGGATTATTCTCGCGGTCGTGGCAGTAATCGACGCATTGTTCAATGCTTTCACTAATAAACTTACTGGTATCGTTGCTGAACTGATATGAAACATATCATATGCATATGAAACTCGTATCGCAGAAAATGGTGACACACACTGACTATTTATGCTGTAATAATTCTTTAAAAAACACGATATGTTGGGGTGACACATAACAAATCTAGTAATGTATGGATAAATGACCTAATGCATTGAGACGATCGAATCAATTCGCCTAGACATAGGTCACAATTAACAGCAGGGTAGTCAACACAATGATTACTTTTTAAGTTAGGGGGTATAATTACGTCACGTCACGTGATTAGAAATTTTAAATGAAATAAACCAGTATGTTGTCAATAAGTACTATGCTGCAGTCAGCAATGAACCGCCTATGATTGAATATTGGTGAAAAACGTCAAGATGTCCTCGATCGAGTTTCAGAAAGCAACGAAATATCGGAACGACCTCAAACTATTGTGTATCGTTGTGTTACTGGTGACTGGCGTACAATTCTGGTATATTAAAGACACGATACAAACCTGGACACCGGGGAAACTCATCAATGATTATGCATTTAGGGATGCTGACAACGCAATTTTGCTTTTACAAGATAAGCGGCGCAAGGCCGGAGTACAGTTAACATGTTCGAACACAACTCCGTTGAACAGATCAAGAATCAACGCCATACTTACTAGTAAGAGAAATGAACTATATTCCAAATACCATTGGATTCCTGACTTGAACTATTTGGAAATTACCAAGGAGTGTGCGAGTTTCAGAGAAAATGAGGGGTTTTACAGCAAACCACTGTCAAAGATGGAAGCGAGCTTCCCTATTGCGTACAGTATTTTAATGTACAAGTCTGTGCAGCAAGTTACTCAGTTGATGAGAATGATTTACATGCCACAAAACGTCTACTGTATCCATGTCGATGCCAAGTCGCCGTGGGAGACGCACAAAGCGATGAAGAGCGTAGCCCGTTGCTTTGACAACGTTTTTCTCGCATCACAATTAGAAATGGTTACCCACTGCTCAATCAGTGTGTTGCAGGCAGAGATGAACTGTATGCGAGACTTAATTAATAGCGAGTACAAATGGAAGTATTTTATCAATCTCTGCGGTCAGGATTTCCCTCTCAAAACCAACTATGAAATCGTACAAGTGTTAAAAACGTTGAAGGGGAAAAACGACGTTCATTCTATAAGGAATAGTGACCCAAGTCGTCACCTGTACTCCCATACGATTAACAACAATATAATAAGCCCTATATACCCGTCAAAATTTAAAGAAGCCCCGCCGAGTAACATAACTGTATATAAAGGCGAGTTCCACGTTCTTCTCACCAGAGAGTTTGTTAATTTCACTCTTAATGATAAACTAGCGAAGGAGTTCTTCTCCTGGTTATCCGATACGAAATGCCCTGATGAACATTTCTTCTCATCTCTGAACCGTCTAGCAGGTGTTGCCGGTGGGTACCCAGGTGATACTAAAACAATTATATCGAGATCAAAACTTTGGGAGTCTAACTTTCGTAATACTGCGTGTCATGGCCGATCCGTTCGCTCAATATGTGTGTTCTCTCTCGGGGATCTCCCACGCCTTGTTCAGCAACCTCAGCTTTTCGTCAATAAGTTTGACAGACGATTTGATTCGCTGGTGATAGACTGCCAGGAAGAGTTGTTACGTCATCGTACTAAGCACCCAGTGCGGTTTGATCCCAGCTACTATAACAAATTACCACACGTTAAAGGTGCAACTTGATATCGATGATGGGTCGATCCGACAATCCAACTATAGGCGGCACAGAACGAAAGGGGGGAACGTTATATGAAAAACAAACATGCAAGAAACGTCCAAAGTTTCATATTCCATCTGTACGTACATCGATTGCTTCGATATTTGTCATGGTGACACTACTATCATCGGCTATTACCGTTTTCTCATTAGAATGAGGTTGTGTCAGCGTAAGTTGCATCTGGTAATTAAAAAGACGGAAGGTTGACATATATTTCCGTCTTTTGTGTACTTTTTTTCAATCGAGTAATAATAGTTAATGTTATAATAATATACATACATTTTTACAACACCGGCTATGATATCATACTTTACCCATAACCCATTGCTGGAGAATCAAGATGGTGGATTATATGATAATACTATGGAGGTATTACCTCCATGATGATACGAATGCAAAGTTGAATATCTAGAGAATGAACAGTGATTATTATTACTACCTTATATTAAAATATGTTTGGATATTTAGAGTAATAAAAAAATCTCTTTTTCGGTCCGGTTAGACTTAAAATATACCACGAATATTTATTTTTGAGATATAATTGTTGGTATTTGTTGGTTCTTGGATATTTCAGCTTCGCCGTAATGTACATCGTTTAGTAATTCGAACTTTCCAGTTTGCATAAAAACGGAAGATGCGTGGGCTAAATCATTTGGTGAGGGACGGCCGCTTAGGTTTGTGCACTAAAGACTAATGCAATCAATCAAACAAACAATGAATTTGTGCTAAAGTACGTTCAAGTTCTTTACTTTTTCATTGCATAAACAAGGTTTTCACCATCCGCTTATGATGACACCTCAAATGCGAGTAATTTCAGTTCCCCTCAAGGGTAAACAATGGTTAAGTCCCGTACGTTATGCCATGTCACTGCTGTCCCTGAAATATTGCAAATAACGTTTTGGTCCCAATTTACGTTGTTATCTCAGGGGAAATTCAAAAAACCTATAATTTGTTTTCAACTCTTATATCGATGGGGGGGGGGGGGTGGATTGACGAACATCTTACCGACTGAGGGCAGTATTGCATTAGCTAACTAAATACGTAACAGACGTATCATTCCGTGTTAAAATAATTCAGATGTGAGATCGATAGAAGTGAACACGGAAACAATATTGGAATACGAAACTGAATACGAAGAAAGCCTATGTCAACATGTCTGCAGCAGAAGATATCAGCACTATCGAAGATTTTGACGTGGTGTTTGATACGCATATGCTCGACCTGACTACAGACAGCCAAACTGTCATTCTGCACCAACGCCGCCAGCACATAGACGTTTACCAGATGCTCTCTTCTCTGAAATCAAGGGTAAGGTTAAATCTTTATCCAAATGTTACCGGATTGAGTCTTCTATTGTTAATCAGATTAGATCGATCAATAAATTTTCATTATCGGGACAAATTCCTAAGGATTTAGTGGTTTTAAAGAGAACGTTATACCTGGTTTGAAGCCGTCTACGGCATTCCTACAAAAGTGGGAACTTATCTCAAACCAGGCATCGAAACAGTACACTAAACTACTGGATATGTATTTGCCGACACATGTGAAACAATTTCAGGCCGTTCTGGTAAAGGAAGAGAAGGGAGCGTTTGAAGATATCAAATGTCTGGCTGGAGACGAACATCAGGCTCTGACTGTTAATAAACTGAGGCAATTCCTTAAACAATCGAGGAAAAGAGTGCAGGACTCCCGAAAGGGCAGGAAACGTACTTCTAGCCTCAAATAAACCAGTGCTTCGGCACACTAACCAGACGGCCCTTTTTAGGGCCACCACATCCTCCAAAAAGAGAAGTACCGTTATTACTAAGGATTCTGTCCATACAATCAATAACACAAAACGTAAGAAACACATTGCAAGATGCAAACGAAGAAAGAATTACAATGCTAAACTGGATAAAAGTAAACGGTTGGCTGATCTAGCTCGGTTGGTCTCAAGTTTTATTTGGAATTTTTCGAGTAGAATTCTTACCCCAACAGAGGTCAATGCCCTTGGCAAAGGACTCAAATTTATACCAACCCCACCTAAGCCAACCTATCACACTTTGCTCAATGACATGTCTATGCTATCTAGGAGAATGCGTATCAAATATTTAATGCAATAAATAATCTCAACAACATCCTTTCAAAATGAAATCAACATAGAACCCACCAGACTCGAATAACAGTAGCCTCGAAAATTACATTGAGGCAATCAAATTTGAGATATCCAAAATTACTACCAATAAACCCAAACAAAACATGAATTCTGCCGAAAGAGCAGCAATAAATAGATTACGTCATGATAACATAATTGTAATAAAACCATTCGACAAGGGTCGAGGCATTGCAATCATGAATACAACTGACCATATATATGAAAGCCTTCGTCAATTAAACAACGAGCAATACTATACTAAAATTAGTGGTAACGATACTATAGTTACTACTATAGTTACTACAGCTAATTTGGTCCATGAGCTCGTTACAGAAATGTACAATCTGGAATTAATCGATTAAGACACGTATAAATATACAGACCCATTTAACTACAAAGTTAGAACGCCTCGGTGGTATTTACTGCCTAAAGTACACAAACCACCACCAGAGGGCAGTATATTTGTCGGTAGCCCGATAATCAGTGGTTGCTCTGGCCCCACAGAGAAAATATCAGAATTTATTGACCACTTTTTTAATTCCAATCGTTAAAAGGCAACATAGCTATATCAAAGATACTACAGATTTTATTAACAAAATCGAAAATATACAAGTATCTGATAATAACGTCCTAGTAACCTTGGATGTTGTATCAATGTATACTAATACTGTTCACGAAGAAGCGATCCGAGCAACCGCTAATGCAATGCAATCGAATTACACAGTGATAGTCCTTTGAAACCACTACCTTTGGAATATATAATTAAGCTCCTTGAAATCATTCTGAAAAGAAATACTTTCGAGTTTAATAATGAATATTATACCCAAACATGTGGAGTTAGCATGGGATCACCGTCTTCACCTGAGATTGCTGACATTACATTCCACCTACTGGAAAATCAGATTTTACTACTTGGTGCTCGTTATATTAAAACATGGTATCGTTTTCGAGATGACATCTTCATGGTATTCAAAAATACCGTACTTAAATTACACAAATTTGTTCAGGATGCCAATATGATTCATCACAAATACTGGCTCACATTTGAATACTCCATGACACAAGTCACGTACCTTGACCTATATAAAGGACAACGCTTCCATGATCTGAATATACTTGAATATATTTTCAATATTTGAAACGTAATTCTTGTCACCCTACATCAGTATTCAAAGGATTTTTCAAAAGCGAAACTATTCGGTATGCTCGCACATGTAATAATATAAACGATTTCTTACATAAACGTAATTTATTTACTGAAAAAATGCGTGAAAGAGATTACACAGATAACGATATCGAAAAATACACTTTAATTAATGAACATAACAATTGTATCTCACATTTACGTGAATCAATGCCTAATAATGAAGGGCAAACAATATTCACAACTACATTCAACCCTTATATACAAGGGTACAGGCTCAAAAGAGCACCATTAAAAAACTGGGACTTAATCCGGAATGATCTATTACTCTGTAACATTTTCCAAATCATCCCCTTATTGCATTTCGTAGAAATACCAACTTGAAAAAAAAACTTGCAAGTTCTACTCTACGTACCGACAAACTCGTGAAAAACGACATACCAAACGACGAAGAATTACTTTCTATTTTAACTAAATTGTATAATGAAAGTAATAACGTCGAATATTCTGAAAGCTAAATAAATCGAACGATTCGGTCAAGTACTGATGAAGGGTTCAACATAGAACCCGAAACAGCACCATCACACTAGTGAATAATCCAATTACGGACAAATTTGAGTGCTGTATTGACATAAGTTGTGTTCACGTTACACGAAGTACGGGCTAAGA